ACATAGCCATTATGCTAACTGCTGGTCCCAATGTAAGTTTCTTGAAAGCAGAAATTTCTTGTTAAATATGTCCTATTAACTTAATAAATGTTAAACAAATCGATACAAAACAATGATGATCAAATTATGTAAGCAATCATCTAAACATCTGATTTATAAAAAGATGCAATGAGTTTAAAAAATAAAAAGATGCAGCAAGTTTTTAAATGAAACATTTTCAAAACAGCATTGAAAAGTAAGTGTACTTGACCATACTCAGCTCATTACACAGCACCTAGGTGAACAGAATAATAATTCACGACAAACAGCATGTTTAATGAACTGGCAACAGAGATATTCGGTCAAAGAAAGGCAGAGGAACTTTGTCCTTTAAAATTAGAACTGAGGGGCTCCGTAATCATCTGGCATCCGCTCAGTGGTGTATCTGTGCTTAGAAATGCACATGACAAGAACTCCTGGGATCTTCCAGATTCTTCGTTTAAGGTCCCGGTCAACTGTGGCCACGATGTAACACTTGTGCTGAGTTACTCTCTGTACTGAGCAGTCATCCGCCTAGGTTCCCTTGTGTGTGCATGGTAATCGTTCAAATCTGGGATCCTTAGCAATCCTTAGAGCCACTCGATACTTTCGCCCCAGTTTTTCAGTTTCAGCCATTACACAGTCAGTTATACCAGGGATACACTTGGCTTACAGACAGTCCACCATGGACTGCTCTAAGTTTGGCTTTAATGGAAAAGTTGATAAAGTTGGTATCAACCAGGATGTGGTAAGGTAGACCCAGGAATAAACAGGAAGGGTGCTGGGGGATGTCTCTTTCCTTCAGCATGTGAGGATCTTTCTTTTCTTTCTTTTTAGGTTTTAATCTATCCTCTTCTTTAAGCCTCTGATCTCTGAGACTGAGCATTCGCTTCATGGTCGCATACTTTCTCGTTTTCTTTTGTTTCCCCATGCTCATGCTACACTCTGGTTTCTTCCGGAATCCCAGTACAATTACTTGTAAAAATGGTTCTTATTGGGCTAGCAGATTGCCTAATGGTTAGGGCGCCGGATCCCACGTGGCTGGCCATGGAAATGTCACAGGGAAATCCAGCACCTTAACCACCATGCCACCTGCTGGCCCCTGTTCCTGATATTTTAGTTGTGTGCTTGGGTATTGAG